CTCTTTGTTGCAGGTGGATGGTAAACCTCTTTGCTCTGGCCACACAGCACAGACAGTCTGGCATGAACAGCTTTGTCTTTTAAGCCTTTCGAAATTTTAACTGTATTGGTGGATAAACAACTCAATCGAGGATTCTTGTCAAAGGCTGAGGCTGTGTTTTGCAGCCGTTGTCACAGCTGAAGTTATTTCTGCAATGTCAAGTCAAAGCTGCATGAAACTGATCTATTATCCTTTCGGCAACCCAGAGGCTAACATTTTCCACTTGTATTTTAAAGCAGTCTTGCCTCTGGTCAGCTATGAGGGGACTCGTGCAACCCCACAAAGGCTCCACTGGGGTTCACCACCTCATCTGTTCTACTGTCTCAGAGTGGTGCTCTCTAACAGGGCTAAATTTAATGGAGCACCACCATTGTGGCCTATGAGAAAAGGTCTCCTATGACTCAGCATCTCCATCCCAGTAGTTTGCTCTGTGTCAACAACAAGGCCCAGCTGTTGCTCTCTGTCCTGTGGTCAATCTGTCTGCTGCCTGTATAGCTTTCCGTTCTAAGATATTTCTTGCACGATCAGACAGAGATAGTAATGCCACTTTCCGTTATCATGGCACAGAAAAGCCTGAGTTGGTGAGGAAAATGGATTCTAGAGGGAAAGGAAGAAATAATATTTAGGTAAGAGTGATCACTGCAGGCCCAGACAGAATTCAGACAACACCTCGGCAGATTTTCCATAGGTTTTGAAGAGAAAGTAGAAACTCAGAACGTAAGCATGTGTTTGCCCCCACCTGCATGTGCGCAACAGTTGTGATGTTGTGAATGTCTTTTGTCATTTTCAGTCATTATCCAAGCCAAGGATCCTACACTGACATCTGCTTCACACCTTGACTGGCTAGTTGCACATCTCTGTCTAGCGCTTCTTTTTCATTCCTTATAACAACAATCTGTGACACTTCTCCTGTCACCTTCTAGAGCTGTTCCCCTCAGTAGTCTGTGAACAAACCAGGTTCATGTCTATTAGCAAAGATATCCTCTCCAAGATTCCCCCACCTTTGTTTTTACAAGGCGGTCGGTCAGTAGCCTACTTGTATTTCAGTCGTCATGTGTCCTTAAATTTTATGCTGGTGGAATGTTTAACAAATTCTCAAATTCAAAAGTTAATATAAAGTGATTTCTTTCACCCTGCTTAAGATTATTTTAGTTGCTTTAATGCATTTTTGTGCTTTTGTTTTAAACTTTTTTTTTTACCATTCAAGGAAAAAAAGAAAAAAAAATCATTCTGCAGAACTCCGCAGAACTCCATCCTGAATAACTACAGAAAACTTAAAAAAAAAAAAAAAAAAAAAAAAAAATGGCCGCAGATTCTGTTTGGCCTGTCAGCCTAACACAGATAATCCAGTCCTTGTTTTGTGAAGTAAGCAGGGTTTGTCTGTGTAGGTCAGCCACTTATCACTGTTGAGAAGTGAGCCGATGTGCACATCTTTGAGGGCTTGTTTGTTGCCAGGCCTTTGTTCAGCATCTCTTTATTACACCTTCTAAGAGGGTCACAGTCCAGCCACAGCTGGCCACATGTTTATGACAGGTTAAGAAAGCAGTAGTGGGCAGTCCTACAAAACACAGTTCCGGTATCTTGTAACTGTTTGCTTCCGTTTTGTTGAAACAGGAGCTGGAAGACTGCACGCAGCTGTGGGGAGCACTGTGCAGCGCTGTGTGCTGCTGTTGCGTCACTGCCTACCCGGGGGCCAGACACTGCATTTTTAGAAGGGAATAAGCATATTCTCTGAACAAACAACGTCAAGCGCCCTGCTTGCGTATGCTAGGATTATTGTGACCATTCTATTTTTACACTCTGTGTGAGTGGTTTTTCTGGGTCAAGCATGGTGCCGGTACTCTCTAGAGGCTGCTGGTGGAGTATATACTGCAGGCCCTATGCTGTGCACAGCTTCTGCATCATTTACAAAAGAGAGAGTCAGACAGAAACATGTTTAAACCATCAGGGAGTTGAGGTATTTTACGACAGGTCTCGTGTCTGCCGTACTGTTGTAAAGGAGACATAATTATTGTTTCTGTGGGGCAGTCACACACTCAGAAGCAAAAACTGTAGACCTGATTAATCTGTAGTATATTATTAAAGGAAAAGCTATTGCATACTAAATCCAAGCCAAATAAATTTGCTATGTTATAGCAAGTATCTACATCACAAACAGACACTATTAATAAACAGACAAAATGTATAACAAACATCTTGTGGGTGCCATTTTGGCAGATATTGGAACAGTATTATTCTGCTAAATTTTCATATGTTACTGAAAGCAATGTTGAATCCAAATACAGAAAATGCTTTATTTCATCAGAAGCAATGGATTGTTGGGCGAGAAGGCTCAAACTAAATGGAACATAGAATCTCTGCATACGTGTGTAAAAGGGAAGATTTCTTTTTTGGTTTTTGCCTCTTTTAAATATTCTGTTCTCAGTAGTCACTCACTTAAAGGTAACATATTATGCAAAACATCTGAACTGCCATCTTCAGGCTCTCCACAGATGTTCTCCGGAGGTTAAGTCTGGATTTTGGCTGGGCCGTTCAGTCAGAGACTTGTCTCGAAGCCACTCCCGCACTGTCTTTGCTATGTGCTTCAGATCATTGCTGTGCTGAAAGGTGAACTGTGGTCCTAGTCTCAAGTCATAACAGGTGACACTGGGTGAGAGGTGGGGTACCTCCTCGACAGGTTGCTAGTCAATCACAGGGCTGACACATAGAGACAGACAACCATTTGCACTCACATTCACACCGATGGACAACTCAAAATTAACCTGCATGCTTTTGGGCTGCAGGAGGCATGAGAGGAACATGCAGTCAGGCGGTAGGTTTGAACCCAGAACCTTCTATATGTGAGGCAACAACTCTAACCACTGCATCGCTATGCCCCCCTCTAACACATAGCAAAACTGTCATAATCCTACTTGACAGATGGACACATAGTTCACATGCATCAGCAACACTACAAATCTGTGTACAGCATCAGCTCCTAATGCGTCCTGCTGGTCAGAGCAGTGCTATGACTGTATGGCCTCCCTCTGTTGTGCTGCCTGTAGCTTTTAATCTCTCCCTTTCTTGTGTCACCTTGTGCCACTGCCTCGTTTGGGGTTGCCAGTCAGTGGCAACTGGCTAGGGACAGATTCACACGATTTCCAGCAGACAGAAAGACTAAAGACTTTCCAAATGAGTGCAGCTGTCACATCAAAGTTCACTGGACAAGAGAAAATTCTCAGAAGTTTGTTGCAATGTCAGTTACAGCCCATACCCAAACCGTTGCCACATTGTTAAGCCATGCTTCAAGTAGATTGTGAAGCTGTTTATCATCACTGTCAGCAAGGGTGAGCCCTGACCTTCACCTCTAAAACTTGGTTCTAACATCTAGAGGCTGTCTCTTGGGCTCCTGAGCTGCAGGCTTTTCTTTGGGCCTCTTCAACTAGCCTAGTTTAGTCCCATCATTTCCCAGTAGTCCAGTTATTTTCAGTAAAACATGGTGTTCTGCTCTGATTTTGTCTGTGCAATACAAAGATATTTGAAAAAAGTATAAAAGGCAGTGTTAACCAAGTCAACTCCCAGTCTGTGAGTAAGCAGCCGGTCCATGTTAAGAAATTAGACTGCATCTGTTGTGCACTAACTAGGTGGAAGAACAGAACCCTTAGTTACACCTCACCAAAGCTAGTCTTTGTTCACTGGATAAGTGATGAAATGGGAATATTTAGTGTGATTAGACAGAATGGCCAGGTGCCAGATCAAGTTGCTGCTATAGGGCAGACACAAGTTATTGTAGGAGGATGAGGGTTATGCAATGTTGTGTTGTCACATTTGCACAGCCAAATGCAGGCAGTGCCATGATGGTGGTGTTGTCTGCCCTCACACATACAGTACAGTACAGTACAGTACGATCTCCTCATCACTGTGACTTAGATCTGCTCCACTGTGCCTCCACCAGATGGAACTATCCCTTTGTTAAATAGACATTTAAATATGCATTGCTTGAATGATTAATATGTTTTGACCTTTTTACAGATGAATTTGTTCAGCTAGTGGATATCTCCATTTCCTTTTTGACTCCTCTTCAGTTGTCATCTGTGTCACCTTAACTGAAACCTGTGATATTTAATTTAGATAAACTCCTGCTACAGTGCTGTGCATGCATGATCTTGTTTTGTATTTCCCTGACTTTGGAGAACTGGTCCTCCCTTAATGGTCAAAGCAGATTTCTGCAACTCATGCCACCCACATGCTGTGTGTGTACAGCCCACAGCTAGCTCTGTCTGCTCAGCGGTTTAAAAACAAAACATCGATCATTAACAGGGGGCTCTTATGTTATGTAATGCTCCCCATTCATATGTAATCCTTATGCTGAGCGACCCCACCCCCCACCCCTGTCATGGTAGTGAAGAGCTGGGAGAGACAGGGTGGCTGTTGGGACCGTTGTCAAGACACGAGTGTTCTTGGTAGACCCTGGCCACCTGCCACACACACACACACACACACACACACACACACAGGTCTCATTTATTCACACGCTGGCACACTGAGTGATGGTCTGTGTACAAGAAGAGAAGTTTTTTAAGAAGTGTCTTACTTAGGTCTGAAGTGCTGGATGGAGACACAACACTGTCCTCAGTGCCAAATCTTGGACCAAAGATTCACTGACTACACTGAGTATATGTCCTGAATGACATTCTCTCCTCTGCATGTGAGCCACTAGAACAAATGTTTGTGCTCAGTTACATATGGTAGAATCTTAGACCTTCTTACTTTTTACTCATGATGACTGTTTTTATTGCTGGTTTCTGCTGCAGTGATGATCTGTTTGAAGTACCTTGAAGTATTTTTGGTTGACCATCAGGCTTAACAGCATTTTCTGCCTATAACAAACATCACAGGTTGCATGCTTGTAGGCATTTTACTTTTATGCACCAGGTATTAGCTTATGTACCTCATGCTTTCATATTCTTCTTCTCTCACAGGAACCATCAATGTGGACTTCAGCTGGCAATTTGACACGTCACATATAGGAGCCCGCGGGAGTCTCTCCTGTCCCCTCTCCCCCTCCCTTCTTCTCCCTCATCCCCCTTTTCCCCTTCTCAAGATTCATCATGCTTATCAAGGAGTATCGCATCCCCATGCCCATGAGTGTGGAGGAGTACCGCATCGCCCAGCTCTATATGATCCAGGTGAGGTCACAACGCCGTATTCCCCACCAAATTCATACCCACACACACTCTGCAGAAAACAGCCAAATGAAGCGGAAACCAGGGACGAAAACCAAAAAATAGACAATTTAACACAGGGGATCTTTCAAGAGTGCGATCGTAGTGTGCCCGATTATGAAATAACTGGGTGCGCAGTGTCTAACATTGGTGGAGTAACAGAACAAAGAGACCTTGTGATAGATTATCCAATTCAAACTCTGAAGCTGGTTGTTTCCACCCATCATAGGCTGTGTGTTTCTTGAGGAGGAGGATGGGGGGCACCTGCCCTCACTGCCAACTTGGTGCTCCTACACCCACACTGCCAGGATGGACATGGACATACTGCTTTGTCTGTGTCAGATAGTTTGATTTTTCTAATCAGGCTGTTAGCTGGAGACTGATCTGTGTAAGAGCTTCAGGGTTTACAGCTCCAAGTGGGAAAGGCTTATTCATACAGCATTAGTTATCCTGTGTAGCAATATATTATCACTTTGCATGATGTGTAGATGAATGAAGATTTATTTATTCTAGTTGCCATGTGCACAGGAGAGGTGTGGAGAGCATTCACAGTGGCTCAGACTGTGATAAAAATTCTGCATTATTAAGGAGTCACATGGAGCTAGTGGGCATATTGATGATGTTCTATCATGGGACCAGCACGAAACTGGAAGAAAACAAACATCCAATGGTGAAGAAAAAGGGTCATTTACAATGACCAATGATCTATCCACCAAATATCTGACTGGACATGCAACGAGATTCAGGAACTTCAGTCATTAAGTGCTGGCACCAGAATCATCAGACAGATTTAAGGAACATCAAGAGACTGTCGTTTATGACCAAATTACAAACTGGCTATGTGACCACACCATGTCCTGTCTCCTGTGGGCTCTACCCAGGTGTTGCCCCCCCCCCCAGACATAGTCTGGAGTTCATGTGTGAAAACGGCTTCATTTGGCAGGTTATTAGGTACACCTAGATAAAACTGTTGTGCCTAAAAACAGCCCTGCAATAAGTCCCCTCCTCCTGATAACAGGAGCTTTAACCCCCAGGAAGCTGCTCTATCAGGGAAGTTAAAAATTCAGACCTTGTGTAAGGAAACCCCACCATGCCTTCAACCTGTTGACCTTCCCACAGAGAAGCCTGTCATGCATCTGTTAATTTTACACCTGAATTAATCAGTGTTTATGTTGTCAAATGGGTCTAAAATTAATATCCACCCACCTGTGTAACAATACTACAACACAAGCTACAGCTGCATCTGTATTACCTCAAAGGACTGCTCCTATTTTATGCTGTCAAAATAGGTTTGAAAGTATTTTTGAGGTTGTGTGAATACTAACTTGAAAATCTGGTTGTGGTGACACTGCATCATAGTAAAGGAATAACTTTGTATTGTGTGCACAGATGGAACTCATTTTTCATGATGGCAACAAAGTCCATAAATAGCACATTGTTCTCTAAAAGAACATTATGGTTCACAGCCCTGTGTTTTGTTCTGATGTTCTTTACACCCTTCTCCTGGTGTAGCAGACAGACAGTTTAGCTGTGATTAGGTTAGGGACAATGGTTAAGAACATGACTCAGAAGGCAGCAGTTCTACAGACCTGCCCATTTCTTTGACACCTGTTTATGTGTAGAGTATGAAACACATAAACAACAGTATTTCTTTTGACCTGCTTTGGTCCCAGATCACTTGCATGCCCTGTGCTAGATTTTGTCAGGCAGGGCACTGTGAAAGGACACGACACACCTGTGCAAGCAGGTTTCCACAAAGCCTCAATATATAAATATGAAAGTGGTTTATATTTGCATGCTCAAGCATGTAACCAAATCATAGGAAAAGGAATTCATCCATTAGTGACCCATAGTTACCTTTCCCCCTGACCTCACCCTCTCTGTACAGCTTCACTGCTTGAAGCTTTGGTCGCTATGGTAACCATGACATCAGCAGCATGCCAGTGGTCAGGTTTTGTTCAAGAGAGTGAGTGAATGAAAAGAGGAAATGGAGGATAAAAAGAGAGGTTGCAAAGGAGGGTGGGGAAGAAATGAGAGAGGGGGTGGAAGGAAAAGAGAGACAGAGCTCTGTTCTGAGCAGACAGGAAACAAGGATTTTGCTCTTGTCTGTGGATACCCTTGCCTCATTGCTGTATGTTACCAGGGCAACTGCAGCATGCAAGCCTGCCTGGCTGCAATGTATCCCCGGTGTAAGGCTCACAGATGAAGTCAGGGCTGTAGGACAGCCTGGTCATATCAACACCTCAGCGGGCAACGCCCCACCCCATCTCCTCCCTCACTTTGCCCTGACAGCACTGCCTTCTTATTTGATAGCTAATTGTAACTTTATTATTGCCACATAGGGATTTGGAGTAATGCATGAAGCAACTGTGGAATGTGTGAGAAATTAAATATGAGGGGGTCTCACTGTGTCTCATTCATTCACATCCATCATGTTTTGCCTTAGCAACTGTATCTGTGGAACGAAGTGAAAAGGAGCACCTCAAACAGGAAACATGCCTCACTAGCTCGATGGCAGGAAAAAACCCGGATATGACTCCATCCTGTCAGAGCTGTAGGCTTTCATGGTGATAGCCTTTATTTTGTGAGGGGCGGATGGTTGTTTAGAAAGAGGTGGGTGAGAGAGTGTGCGTTGTGTGGCAAGGGTTTTAGGGCAAGACTCACAACACAATGTCCACTTTGTCTTGTACTTTGTACTGAGCCAAAAGGGATTTTACAGTAGAATGGAGTAGATGATGTGTTTTGAAATCTTTCCCCTGGTGGACTGGAGAGAATTGCTGCCAGGGGGAGAAGAAGAGCCACTGCTTGTGACAGGCTGCAGTCACCTGTCAGCAGCCTAATTAAAGAGACAGTCAGCACAAAACATAGTGACACTTTTTCCCTTCTTACCTGGACTGTTGTCTTTACATCCAGACATCATTTGCTAACATTTGGAGCTGTCGGCTGTATACAGAAGAAAAAACAAATTACATTTGGAGAACTCAACAGTAAGTTTTCTTTTTAAATGTAATGATGGTGGTACATACTGCACTGACTGGGATACTGTAAATTGTGTAAGAGCTTGTGTATGCACACAGTACACACTATAAACCTGATGTTTACATCAACCACAGTATGTTCTGTTGTTGAGTTCCCATCTTGTGTATGGCAAGTATGATGGTGCTGTGGTGTCTGTGCTGTGTCTGGGCTGTTGAGAGCAGAGCGGGTGACTAATGAATGACCTGTCAGAGGTAATGAGGTCCGGAGCACTGGATGCCTCATGGCTTCCTGCTTCCTACTGGTTTAATGGCTTGCCTACTCCGCCTCTCGCCACCGGACTGATGGAGAAATGTGTTTTCCTATTTCCCAGTGTTCCACTCAATACTACGTTAAACGTACTTTGAACTGTTTGTGGCAAGACTGGGCAGTGAAATGGGAAAGATGATGTATCAGTAATCTTTAACATTTATGGTTGTTGCTCCTTGCTCTCTGTGTTGTATATGTCATCAGCACTTGGACTATGCTCTGCTGTTTAGAATTCCCTTTTGACTGATTTGAAAAATGTCTTTGAAGCCTACCTAGCTGTTTCTTTGCTCAGCTGCATCTGCAGGCTCCACCCAGTGTCTCTTCCTCTGTGCACCTGGAATGTAAATATTGGAAAGGTGTGGCTCCATGAACTGGATTTTGGGCTTCCTGATTTGCAATTCAGGGCTGACAGCGCTTTCAGGAAACAATTAATTTTGGTGTGTGTGAGTTGTTTTTGTGTCGCAGTCTACTGACTGTAACAACTCAGCCTGATAAACTCCTCAGGATCTTGTCTGTAACAGGCATCATGTCCGTTCATTTGTTTCAGTTATTTCTGAAACATATGTTTCAGATTGAGGGAACATTTGTATTAATATATTTAATTGTAACACAATGTTGCCAGCACTTTGCCAGCTCATTTCAACTTAAATTTTATTTGTCTTTCAGAAAAAGAGCAGAGAAGAGAGCTGCGGTGAAGGCAGTGGTGTGGAGATTCTAGAGAATAAACCCTACACAGATGGACCAGGTGGGACAGGCCAGTACACCCACAAGGTCTACCACATTGGCATGCATATTCCCAGCTGGTTTCGCTCCATCTTGCCCAAAGCAGCACTGAGAGTTGAAGAGGAGTCCTGGAACGCCTACCCTTACACCCGCACCAGGTGAGCTTTGCTCCTGTGCTGAGACCACCTCCACTGCCTTTCAAAGCAGGTATGAGAGTGCAGTAAACTTTATATTTGTTATTAAAATTGTGTTTGTGTGTGTCTGGCCTGTGCAGCTGGTAGATCTACACACATTTAAGAACAAAAATTCAGCCCTCACCTCTTTAGAAGATGGATAATAATTAAAACCCTGGTTAAATTCGGTGTGAAGGACTTTTGCTAACTCTGAGAGATGAGACAGTCCAAGTAACTTCAAAACAGTGCTGATTTATTTGTTGGATATTTTTAGTCATATAAATATTGGATAGATACTTTATGTATTAGAAATGTTAGTGGAGAGAGTATGTCTAGTTAGACTGTTAAATGCTTAGGCCTGCTTATGAGTTTCTACAGGGTACATCTGGTCAAGGATAACTAGAGAGAAGAGTTGATGACTGTCAGCAGACAGGGTGTTTAATATTATTATTACGACGTGTATAACTGTAGCCTTAGCCATAATATGTTCTTATGTTTAAGTCACGACATGTTACTAGAGGTCGTGAGAATGTTTTTAGCTACACACCACTTAATCAACAGACACACACA